ACAATGACCGAAAGCTCCCTATTACCTCTTTCGGCTACCAATCCCCCTAACAATGGTCACGTTTTTGACCCAATCTCCGCCCCCCACTTCCTCTGACAACCGCACCATTACATGGGATTATAAATTATGACAGAAAACATAAAACCCCGCTGCTTGTCGCTTTCATATTATCCGCGTGATTCATATGCATTTACTCCTTCATCGGCTCCTGTGGAGCGGGATATAATGGCCGAACAACTCGACGTCTGGAGAAGAGGGTGCGTGAACATATACTAGCCTGGCTTGGAAAACGAGAAAATCGATCGATTACACGTTCAATCCTCATACACTTGATCGATAGTAGGCGTCATCAAATAGCCATGTTCGAATGCTAGACTACTGTGTCACGGGCTTGTCGTCCTACCGGTTAAGATAAGGCGGAGACACATTGGTTGGTTAACACTCACCGATCTGTTATGGGACTTAACCGGCGCATTCTACCTTTGGGCTCACTGACGAGCCCCACGAGCAGCCACACAGCGGCTAGCATTATAGGCAGAAGAACATAACCGACAAAAGTCAGGGAGACTAGAATGGCCATTTCTGATTTATGAGCCATCCTCAGCCAGCTGAGGCTCGAACGCTCGATCTGTTGATTGGAATTCAAACGCTCTAATCCATGTAGTTACGAGCTCATTGTCTTGTCGCTTTCGATCGGGAATATTAACAGTCGTAGAGGGGCGCTCACTGAACGATTACTGGACTTACTGAACACTCACGATTGGCGAGCTGGTGGAACCCGAGGGTGTGCCCCAAAGCCTAACGGGACGAGTACGTCCCGTAGATTATTGGTGAGCCACCATCTGCTAGTATGTATGTTTTATTTAATTAGTCGTCTTCTGTCGGCCAAAATGTTCATTTCTCTATTAATTTTATAGCCGTTTTTAGACATTTGTGTTGCATTCTCAATTCCGTTAATTTTTTGTTTACTTCAGGACAAGAATGTCTCCGTCCAGTTGACTGTCTCAGCACCTGGCATAAACCTCCTTTCCGAGGAATCCCTCATGATCAGAATTCTGGCAGAAGACAATCAAACTCCGAACCTTGAGGTAAAGGGGTCCCTCATGTATGGCATGAACACGTCATATGTGTTTCACTCAAATTTATCGTGTAATGTTTTGTATAAAAAATTGCAGTATTTATAGGAGGCGGCTACGATGCTAATGTCAAAATATCAAAAACAAAGGCGGCATTTGAATCCATCACAGCTATTTACCCGTGGGTGCGATAATAGCTTGACGGTCCGCCACCAAGTCGTCAATGGCTGCAATTGCATCACACCTATTGGCCTTTAGTGTGAGAAGCATTGGGTCATTTGGCTTAATGTGAACAGTGCTTTCCCGTGCGCACCCTAGGTGGCCGAATGCTCTGTTCGCGTAAACTTTCAGCACAGGATATGGAAGCGGGAGGTTGTTGCGCTTACTACTAGTCGATAGAGTGCCTGAAACCCATGGCTCCAACAGTTAGAGGCTCCCGCGGTCATTACATCTTGCGAGAATTTCGGTCTCATTATGCTTCAATAGGTGACTAAGCCGTGGCTTGAGAGCCAGCGTCATCCTTCCTCAAAACAGCGAATTGCTCGGCAATCCGCGTCAGGAGCAGTTTTCGAGTTTCTCCGACATAGGTTGTCCGGATCAGGTATAAGCCTCCAGGTACTTCTTACTGTTGCAGTTGTTCGTTCAGCTTAATGACTCGGGATCTTAGGGTTTCTTACGGTCTGGATGCAACACCAATTTGAAAGGTGAGGAAAGGTAGCAACAGCTTCCAAGGCGTTCTCTTCGTACGAGAGTGCTCGTCAACATGTAGGCCTGGTTTTATTTGGTTCCTGTCTTGATTCACGAAGGTGCGCTAGGAGACATTTACTCTAAGCATGTGCCTAAGCCATGGCAATTTAACAACATGGTTCACATCGGTTCACTTCAGAGTGTTTCAGTACGTTGGCATGGCGTCCTTCGAGTGGTAATATGGAATCATTTCTCGTCTTCCAAACTGTTTCCTGGTAATTATCCCTTTGCATCTGTCTGCAGTAACCAGTTTGTCGATAGAATTAGAGAAGCTAGCTCCAGGAAGTAGCCCTCAAAAAGAAGATGTGATCGCAGGAACATAACGTTTATTGATCTAACGTTTCGGATTCTCGCTCGAACCCATCGTCAGAGACGGTTGCAGACAAGAGTAATGAGGGCATTAAAGGGTGCAACATTTATAGGACACCATTGCCATTTAATCTCTTGCTGAATTCAACTATCAGACTTCGCGTTAATTGCTGGTGGTCGTGGATGATGCGTTGATTGCTCTTTAGTTCGCGCTCGAGTCATTGATTGTGCAAATTTCGTCACCACTCTTGATTCTTGGCGTGATTATTATTCGGCAAGCTGGCCTGCTCTTACTGAAACCTTTGACCATCCGCGTCTCCCCCACTTGACTGTGTACTCTGCTTAGGCAGTTTATTAGCACAAAATATGGGGTCATGGGTCAGTGTGCCTATTAATCAACTGCGAACTGGAGAGTCAAGATTCAAGTATTTGCGGTCCCATGCGATTGTCAGCCCCTGTGCGAATTCCAGCCTCGTTAAACATAAAGGTGTGATCGGGTCTTGTCGCATAAGCTGCGACTTGAGAGTTAGTATTTCTCCTTCTTACCACTGTCGCATACTCAGCCGTTTGCGTGCGGGAAAGTCTTCCAGCTTCTCCGACATAGTTGCGGCGAGAGATTCTGCGGAAGCCATACTGACAAATAAATAGAGAGAGACTAGAAAGGTAGTTTCCGTTTGTCCAAAACCGTCAGTCGGTCTTAATATGAAACTCAAACCAGGAATTTCTGGTCGTTGAGTACTTGCTTGGACTATGTGCCACTTAGACACAGATTTGTTATCCTGTGGGACTGTAAGCACAACTATCGTTTACATGAGACGGGACTTAATTTACTCTGCATAAAATACAGAAATTCTCGCTTCATTTAGTTCCGGACTTCCAGTCTGCACCAACTCTTGACTACGAGGGCTGTTAACTGAAACGGGTGCAAGGGCTACGTACTACAACCGGATCAATGGACGTAGTTCCCACTTGAAGTGACAAACTTGATCGTAGTTGGCAGGACGAGGAGCCGAGTTTGATGACAAAGCCTTCAACGTACTGCTCATTGACGTAAGATCCAGGCTTTGAGTCCGGAGTAATCCAAAGATAAGCTTGCATAGAGTGGCCTGACAACAAGAAATGAGCCATAAATGGCGACGCTAGGCTTTCACGTCTCCTTTGATAGTTCCCTTATGTTATTAGGATTTAATTTCCTTTCAAAACCTCCCGGAAAAACGAAGAAACGGACGATGCCAGTTTGGGGTTTTTATCACTTCAGTCCAAATGTTCGTTAACGCTCACATGCCGACCAAATACGCGTACTTGTTTAATTTATTTTTGACTACTACCTATTTAAACTGATTATATCGGATTCTGTATAAATTACCTTGTTATATCCCGTATAATACCAGGATAGTTGACTGCATAAATTGTGCAGTTCAAAGCATTTGCTCGCCTAATAATAGACACAGGTAAGAAGTACGTATGTTACCTCCTAAACGGCACATAGGAACAGGAACGCCCCGCCCAAGTAATAAAAGGGGCCCTCTGCAATATTCCAGGAAGAGTAAATATTCCTGTGCTCTAACCCCATCAGTAGTCGTAACATAAATCTAAACGGTTATCATAACCCTACATTAGCACCAAACCTATCCCTAAGCCTAAACGTACCTCTAAATCACCTTAACGCCAGCTTTAATTCTAACCTTAAAAATAACTCTAACCGTAGCAATAATCATATACTTCGTGCAATTTGGCACAAAACCACCTATATTTTGTGAATATTTCCTGTTCTCATACCTTGTTCATATAAGTCACCATTACCTCGAGACCTACTATCACGTGTGTGAAATAGGAAAGTAAGGTCCAAATAAATATTCCTAGGAATAAATGATATTTCATTAAAGACCATTTACCAATATCTTTTTCCGGTGTCTCAGCTGATCAAGCCAGCCGCCGTACCACGTGACGGTGAATTGCCACTCACAGAGGAGGTCCTTAGGCTCATGGATAACGACACGCCGTTTGTGAATTTGAAGCTCACGCTTAAGAAACGACCCACGCACGGGGACATATTTGTGCGCAAGACCAATACCACATCGAGTTCCATCGGCACGAAGGTGAAGATGAACGAAAATGACACATTCGAGGCCTCGGTTCTCCCCATGTCTGCCTTAAGGTGGGTAAGTCATTTTCTGTCCTTCCGTTTGGCTCAACCCTCAGCCGAAATGCGCTACATTGCATCCGGTAGGATATTTCTGCAATTGGTTCTCATGATGTCATTCGATATCTTCAGTACCCAGTGTCCTGACTTTTTAGATCCAGGGAGAGTGCAAACTTGACGTTTGTCCTCAGAATTATAGGCATTGTAGCGGTTAGATTAGATGATATGCCGTCAGATAACCCGTCACTTGTTGGCGAGAAACTAATTTAACTGCTTTGGATGTAGTACTTGTACCGTTTATGCTCGCGCATGCTACATAAGATAAGAGATTGTGAGCGTCTAAATAAGTCCTCTAAAACGGATTTAGAATAAATCACAAATGCTCGGCAGCTGCAGGAGAAAAATCAAACAAGTTCACACCTGGATCCTTTAGTTACTTAAGCATATAACAAAGAAAACACATGAAGATACCGCTTCTAGATAGTAAATGGGAAGTGCACTCTACGATAATTTTTTATGCCGACGTTTTGGATTCGTTAGTAAAGCAGTGATCAAGAGAAAGTGATTAAGAGAAAAATAGGAAGATTTGGTTTTTATGATACCGCGCGCCTGCTATCTCAACGATCAACTCACCGACCCCCGAACGTAAAGGTGGGATAATTGCCTGTCCGGCCACGTTGATGACCTGTCTCGGTAGCCTTGATAATCAACGGGGTAAGTTATTCTTTCTTAAGCCCTTAACGGGACTCCCAGGGCCATTCTTTTCGGCCTCTTGGCGGAGGGGGGGGGGCTCATGGCGCTTGCCGACTGACCGTAGGCGAAACAGTTTTGGCTTGGACAGTTGTTGTTGTTCATGTGGTCATCACATCTTGGGAGCGAATTAAGGTTTCTTCGAATGGAGGTATGTAGAGGGGTCCTGCTTAATGAGCGGCTTCTTATGCTTTGGTGTCCTTCCTCCTTTCTGGTAATATGTTTAACCACCCGCGTTCTCTTACTGATATCTTTTGTAAATGACAGGCTGAGAATGATTTTGTTCCTCCATCACACCATTTTATGAGGCCTGAACCAAATAAAATAACACACCATAGTAATTCACATTAACCGGTTAGTGCTTTGAAAGCAGTATGGCATACTACTTCCAAAAACTAAATGCATAAAATGCAAGGGTCCAAAAATGACGATGCTAGTTGCACTCCTTAACATTGCATGTTGGTCTTCTCCAGCGTAAAAGCTTTTACATTAACGTTATATGCAAATCACAGATGTCAGAATCCTTTATCCTTAGGTAACTGAACAATGAAATGGAACCCGGCGTTTCCGTCTTACCCAACGGTTTATTTAAAGTCAAACGTAACGCCTGAATCGGGTATCTGATCTTGACTAATGCTGTGCTTCGATAAAATGAACCAATTGCTGGCTTTTTCATATAAATGTGGTTTTTCAGTCAGGTATCTTGAAGCCGTACACGCAATTGTCCATGTCAGACCGTTTTCAACTGAGGAATTCTCAACAACCCACAGAAAATTCCGGACGACCACTATCAACCAATCGTGCATAAAGTTGATCACGTGATACTTGTATGACTTTGCCTTCCAAGGACGAGCACATTTAAAGTGTGTTACTTATTTTGATATTCAATTGATGCAAGCATGAATACCCTAGAATTACTCGTGAGTAGATAATTCTGCAAAAATAGCAATACCCGACCATGTGCTATTCCAAATTCGAGTCCCACAGTAATACTTTCAGCGGTTTTGAAGTCGTCCTTGATGTATAACAGAGCGTGTCATATCCTTGGTCGCCATCGGTGCAAGGCTATAATGCGTAACAGGTTCATTAAAGCAAAGGCTGCCTTAATCGCAATAAGCAATCTGGGAAGTGCATCGCGTCCGATGCCTAAACTGCCCTTGTAACTACACAGGTCAGACTGAAAGAATGCTCAGATCGCACGTATGTGGCAGAAGCTGGCTGTGCGACGGGGCTACGAAATGTCCAAACTAGCTGCCCACAACTTCAGGAGTTTCACTTTTCGGCCATCATTATAACTACCCACACCGAAGCACGATGAACCAAAAATTGATGGAACCCTGGCCTTCAGATGCGAATTCAAGCAACCGATTTATTAGCCTGGCGTCGGCTTATAAGTTAAATGCATTCTTTTGCTGCTATTGTTTCCCAGATTGGACTCCTGCACGAGTTTGAAAGCTCAGCATGGCAGAATAATTGTTCGGATATTTGGACGACCTTCTTTACCCACATTGGCAGATTGCAAATTCTTGAGTGAGACAAAGACAGCTGTTTACATGCGATTATGATCAGATGGATCATCGAGTCAAACATAGGATTAGGCTAAAGTAGCAATTTAATACGAGGGATGTTTTATGTCTTAGGAAGGTACTCAAATTGCAGAATGGAGATCAATCGATGCTGCGAGTTCACCTGTGGCCAACGCCATTCGGATCCACATAGTTAACAGAGGTAGCGGGATCGCTGCCAGGAGCCGCGGAGCCCGGAAAACGACCCTGGTGTCAATGCGGAGACGCCGCTATGAACATCGGCAACTTTAAATATTATAGAGCGTCATATGCAAAGCAGCTATAATGGTGGAAATGTACATTCTATCGAAATGTCAGAAAAAATAAAGTTACCTTCACCTAGAAGAGTGCAAATTCCATTCTGAAGTACCATTTTGAAAGCAGGATAGGCATTCATCGTCTGGTGCTTCCTCGTATTTCAACGTTCCTACTGGTTATACTTTCATATACCACATTATAGTCCAGCGTATTTTGAAAAGTCCAAATGAGTTAAAGGAAGCCGACGAACTTCGGCCTTCCCAAATATATTGCGAACTAGATTGGTTAAAAGCATAATTGTAGTTTAAAGTGTCCAATAGCGTGCAGGAATCAGTCAACTGGCGGTGACAGCCAACGTTTTAGATTTAAAAAATGTTTTAAGGGAACTATAAGATTATCCTGTACTTATAGAAAACCAGTATTAAAACAACCAAAAAACGAACGACCATTCGCATCAGTTTGTTAATCTCCTTGACTTAATCGTTCAGTCAGAACACTGGTCTCGACGTAAGTAATAACAAAAGACCTGCTAAGACGTAGCAGGTCAAAACGCCAGTTGATTACTTGATACTCTCAACTTTGAAACGTTGGGTCCTTACATCGTCTCGACCTCAAATAGTCCCTCCCCCGAAGTCGACGATCTGGCCAGCCTCTTCCGTTTGGGTTCATATTTGGAGTTTTGGTTCCAGTCTGTGTGTCCTCCGTCCATATCCGAGCTGGTCTATGGTCCTCATCCATCTTCCTCGACTTTATTGGGCAGCAGTAAGTTCTCTAGATTGATCGTACTGCCCAAAGTAATTGTAAGAAGTCTCTATATCGGGCACAGTGTGGTGATGCAGCACAACACCTGTCATGTATAATTTGCATATATCCTAGTTAAACTAGGCCACATGTTTAACGTACTAAGAGCGGCGTCAAATATTCATTAACAGACATCTCTTTCAGAACGATTTATTCTCTCTAGTCAAGGCGCTCATTAACGTCCAGATGCCGATCCAAATGTTGATAGTGCCCAGCTGAGCAGATGGTACGTTTCATATATAGCTTAGGAAGAAGGCCGTTAGTGAAATTCCGGTAAGAATTACTTAGAGAGCCCTCCAATCAGGTCACGGAAGAGGAACGATTCCCAAGTAATAGCGGTGTCCCTGCGCATAATTTCAGGAAGATTAAATATTCCTGATCCAAAGCGCCAAAACTAGCCTTAAATTGTAGCCCTAGCCTTAAACCCAATGCAACCGTAACCCTCAGTCCTAAGTTGAGACTAGCCCTAACCTCTAAACTTTAAATTACCCCTGACTTACCTTGATGCTAACCTCAAACTTAGCCTTAAACACGATCCTAAAATTAACTTTAGCCCTAACTATAAGCCTAACCGTCGGATTTTGGCGCAGACATCTCTGTCGTGGCTAACCCTGTTCTCATCTTCTGTTTAGGGACCATATAAGTCATCCCTACCCAACTATGTATTAAGAAATGGTGTGAATTAGGAAGCAAATTGTCAATTTTCATCCTCCCAAGATTACCCCAATACCCATCCCCTCTCTGTTTTGAACTTTCCGCATTCAAACCCGACTTCCTCGACCTTTTCAGCTACATTCAGGATGGCTCAAATACGAAGGAGGACAGCTTCATTTTGACAGCTACCGATGGCAAGCAAACGAGCCAACCCCTGCTAGTCACCGTAGCCATTCATCCCCGCATCCTGCAACAGCCGGTCTGGAAACTGTTGGTCAATAACAGCATCCTGGTGTGGGAAAACGCCACAGTGACCCTACACCAATCGGTTTTCCCACAGACCGACTCTGAGAACGATAACAATCCGCACGACTCACGTTTCTTCCTCGTGGTGGCTCCTACCAAGGGCAGATTTGTTTTAGACGGACGGAAAGCTGTCAATCAGTTTTCGACTGCCGACGTTACAAATAGTCGCATCGCCTACCGTCACGGACCCGCGGAGATTGGCATTAAGCCACAGGTGGATATCGCCCGAATTTGGGATTTCAGAAGTGGCAAAATTTTCAGCCTCAACTTTACGCTCACACCCGTAAACAGCCAGGCACCGACTTTGGTGAGCAAAACCGCCCTACACGTAAGTCCACACCACTCCGAGTCGTTGTGTCCTTACGGTGGCTGTGACAGAATTAGCACTTGTTTGACCGCATGGGGTGGAAGACAGAGCACCTTTAGCTGATTAATGCTCAGAAAGGGACATGAGTTGATTATACGACAGACTTTTGCAGACTCGTAATTAAATCACACTTTTATGACGGTCATCGTGAAGAGGCTGAATATGGAGTTGCTTGTAGCTTGTGCAGAAATGCTTAAACTATCGATTGCTCTATTTTTTTCGATTGGAAAAGTTTGCATAAAAGGGGCGTAAAAGTAAAATGTGCGCATTAAGCCAAAGGTATTTCTCATACGACAGGGCTCGGCTTTTGAACGAGGTTCTTTCCGACCGCTTGTAAAGGCTACCCTCCATAAAAATACTCATAATAAAGGATTGTGAATTTTCCCATTGATTTTGAATGCTTTCATAATGCCAAATCTATTTTAAGGAAAGAATGCATTAAGTATTATTTGCTTCGGTCATCTGGTAGCAAAGTACGTCTTCTTCCTATTTTATGCTGGAAGATAGGGAGTCTTTTGA